GGTGCTTGGTCTTAGAGAGTACAGGTGATACATAAAGTGCTTGGTCTTAGTCCAGGGACAGAATAACACAACAAGGTCATCAGATCTACATCTTGATATTAAGTGCAAATGAGATTTTAGTCAAAACCATTTTTTTCTCTCTCTCTTTCACTTTTGAGCAGCCTGCTCAGTTTAAAATTTGTTTAGTTAAACATTTTAGAACAAATTCAATTCTTGAAGTTACAATCACTTAGAATGATATTTATATATTGTATTTAGGACACATTTTTTTTTCTACTTAGTGGTAGAAGAATGAATTTTTTGTCTTTTTTAGCGGCCCCCGAAAGGGTATAAGACGCTATTAGTTTTGTGTGAAATGTCTGTCCGTCTGTTCGTCCCGTTAAGATCTCGTAAACTAGAAAAGATAGTGAAAATCCGACATCACAATATTTTAGACCATTCAAAGTTATGATGCAACGGCTACTTTTTTTTCTGAAAGCGAAAAATCTAATTTTTTAAATCACTTTTGCAAGCAGTTTTTTAATGAGAAAAAGCTATTTAGTATGCATTATAAGTTAGACCTAATTTAAAACGAATAGTCCCGGTTTCGAATCCTGGTGAAGACTGGGATTTTCAACTGTGCAAACTTCTGGCACATATGAGTCCACCCAGCTCTAATGGGTACCTGACATTAGATGGGGAAAAGCAAAGGTGGTTGGTCGTTGTGCTGGCTAGATGACACCGTAGGCCACAAAAACAGATGAACTTTACATTATCTGCCCTATAGACAACAAGGTCTGAAAGAGGAACTAATTAGGCCAGGTTCACATCTAACTTTGCATTCACTTGCACCTATCTTTTGATCTGCTGGACGTTTGGAGCACTACACAAGATCTGTCAACCTTTTTTCTCCATTCTTATCTGTCATTTATCTTTGATATAATTTCATTCGGATGTTCTTTCTGAAAATATTGAAGCCTGCCTGGGTGGACCACTTCGGGGGCCGATTTTGAGTTTGTGTTTCCACACAAACTGTCTTTGTAACGCTGTTTTTTTAAGTAACGTCTGTATTTTGTAAGATAAAATAAGCATGTCCATCTCCATCACACCTAATCATTGCCTAATCATCCTCATTTTATCATAGTTGCATAGGAGTGTTATCATAGTTTCCTAGACGGAGGAATTAACTGTACAATTATATTTCGTATCTCAAATGAAGATTCTATATAATTATTACAAAACTATCTCGGGTCAAAGTTTTGGTAACATTTAAAAAATGTAACTCCGAGATCCGCGTCCCAGGATATCAATTGACGTCTATTCATTGGGTGACAGCCCGAGCTAATCTTGTTGAATGACGAGCAGGATGAACTGTTCACGCTCTCAAGCTGCTGAGCTTATGTGGCTTTTGTTCTTTTTAGCAAACGGTCTGTAAAAGATAGGTAGAGACTTTACAACACAAGAGAAAACAAAAAGAAGCGAAATGTACAAAATCTATTGAAACTTGTTCTCCTGTCATTTAGATGTTTACGGCCACTAAGTGTTGCATATAGTTTAGAAGTAGTACACTGTCTGGTATAAACAATATCTTATGAATAATTTCATGAACAGAAACTTAGATGCTAATCAAAATGTTAAACAAATTTTTATTCTGTTGGAATTGTTGAGAAGGGAGTGAGGGGGTGAATCAGAATCCTCAAATATCCCCGCTTCCAAGTGTTATATATATAATATAAATATATAACCTATCAAAGAGTCCAGTTGTTATTTGCTCAGGGTCCAGATATTGGCATAGGGTCTAGATGCTCGTGGCGCGGTTAAGTTCGTGCACAGTACCGTGGTAAGACAGGGCGTGGGAGTAGGGTGTGGATATATCCTCCAGAAGATCAAACATGAAGTTGTTTTTTATTATCTATTTCAATGTCAAGTCCCTTGCGTCCCGTGTGTGTGTTTATTGTCTCTGTTGCTTGAGCAGGTAACAAACGAAGAGCAACCAGTGTCTTGTTGACACATAGAGGACAGGGGAAGGTGTACCAGCTTTTTATTGACATGAGTAATAAGCTTTGTTAAACATGTACGTGCAAACAGTTATACTTATTTCGACATTTAAAAATTAGTAGTAGTGTTTAGCTCTTCAGGCCTGTGGTCAACTTTTGTTTAAATAAGAGAACCCATCTTTAGTCTACCAGTTTCCCTCTGCCCGTTTCCTTCTGTTATCGCGTCAATACGTATATTGTGTTGTCTGTTGACGGGTCAATGAAAGACTCTAGTTCATCTCATACAGCCCTTCTTGTAACGGTACAGCCCTTCTTGTAACAGTACAGCCCTTCTTGTAACAGTACAGCCCTTCTTGTAACAGTACAGCCCTTCTTGTAACGGTACAGCCCTTCTTGTAACGGTACAGCCACTTTTTGTAACGGTACAGCCCTTCTTGTAACAGTACAGCCCTTCTTGTAACAGTACAGCCCTTCTTGTAACAGTACAGCCCTTCTTGTAACGGTAAAGCCCTATTCTGGAGACAAATTCCTGTCCACATATATCACGAGCAAAAAGGACGTCTATTTTGGGTGTGTGAGGATATATATGTCTATAAACTACGTCTATTTTGGGTGTGTGAGGATATATATGTCTATAGACTACGTCTATTTTGGGTGTGTGAGGATATATATGTCTATAGACTACGTCTATTTTGGGTGTGTGAGGATATAGACGTCTATAGACTACGTCTATTTTGGGTGTGTGAGGATATAGACGTCTATTTTGGGTGTGTGAGGATATAGACGTCTATAGACTACGTCTATTTTGGGTGTATGAGGATATAGACGTCTATAGACTATGTCTATTTTGGGTGTATGAGGATATATACGTCTATAGACTTTGTCTTAGGAATGTAAGATTCGGACATTCATCCACGTTTACCAAACTTTTTGTTTACAATTGTAAGTCAGATGGCTCTACACAATTTATGTTTATATAGGCTACGTTTTTTTTCTCTCCAATGTACTGGTCCATCGAATTGTTTTGTCAGCATGTTTCTTAGATAAGTATTCTTGGGCCGCGTTGTAGATCTGATAGTAGTTTAATTTGTTTAATTGAGTTCTGATACGACCTACACTTTCCAGAAAGAATGCTAACAAAGATAGTTGGCTTGAAGTGGGGAAGGTCTAAGGAGATGAGGTGGGGGGTGGGGGGAATGCAAATAAATCGTAGGGAGTTTGTGGCTCGAGATGAACATAACTCACGCCAAAGAACTCCAAATATGTTCCGTTCTTTGAATACGTATAAAGTGTAGCCTACTTATAGTTGCCTCTTCATAATTATTGGTTTATGTTTTTTCATGATCTTTGATATTACAATATTTGAAAAATCTATTTAAAATCTCGATGATCTTTGTTCTATTGAGTACCATGTGATGCATGCTTATATGAATGTAAACATGGGAGTGTTTTAGAAGGGAGCATGGGGATTGCTTTCTATTTCCTATAGTTCTTGACTTTACATCTTCCTGTGAGCCCCCAGGAAAGTATAGGTCCACATCCATACCTCTCTACCAAACTCAGTTTGGAGCAGCTTTCTTCATCTGCTCCATTGTCATTCCAGCATCCTTAACTTCACTGATAACTGACCTCTTCCATGTTTGTTTAGGCCAGGACAATCTCTCCTTCCTTGCGGATTCAAATCAGGTGCCTGGCTTGCAACATTGGTAGACATCTAGTTAGTGTTCTCAGTGTGTCCTGTCCACGTCAAATCAGGTGCCTGCCTTGCAACATTGGTAGACATCTAGTTCGTGTTCTCAGTGTGTCCTGTCCACATCTAATCAGGTGCCTGCCTTGCAACATTGGTAGACATCTAGTTCGTGTTCTCAGTGTGTCCTGTCCACGTCTGTTTTAGCTTCCCATTACTGCCCTACTTCCTAACACTGGAGCCAGTTCTATCCGAGACAAAGAAAAACACAATGCTAAAAATAGTCCCGTGTGCTTCGCAAGGTGGGATCATCTGATAGTGTATTCAGCTGATTCCTATGGGCCATTGAATTCGCAAAAGCCTAATATCTAATTCTACATTACAGAACAAGAACATTTCAAATGCTTCCCAGCATTCAGCTTGGGTCAATAAAGACAGCTACCGTACTTATGCACGCTTTGTAAACAGGGCTACACCGTAAAGTGCAAACAACAAGATAAACAATAGTGTCGTCTGCTCCCCCAGAGTAACCCGTTGACTGACCTTTAACCTTCCCCAGATGTTTGTGTTGGTAGATGTCTGTCACGTCACCTTGTACGTGAATTGAACTTTGGATAGTGTTAGGATGAGCAGCACGCCACAATAGAAGTGACACTTGAAGCGATACCTTGAATTAGGTGCTGTTTAGGCGTTGGAAGAAAAATAGGCAGTGACCTTGACCTGAGTACAGTGCCTCTAATAGAGTGTTGCTTTTTGTTCTGATGTAATGGTGTCAAGTTAGGTGCCTTGCCTATAATAGAGTGATATATTATTTTGCCATTAGGAGTGGCTTGAGTGATGTGCCACTATAATAGAAATGCCGTTTATTAACATGGATACTGTCTTGAAGAATTCTAATAATCTCTCAGTACCGCGATGGCCTTGATTAAGCAACTGAGTAGCACCACTGATATAGTGCTAAGTCTAGCCATGGAGTGAAAAGGTTGATTCTGTATTACAAATAGGTGCAGTAACCCTGACATGACTACTACATCACTACTGCAATTTAGCACCACTGGTGGGTATAACCACATGGACCTGACTTCATCTATTACTCACAAGACCCGGAGTTCTAAGTCCAAATTGAAACATGACCTGACAAGTAAATGTGCAACCAAACAATGACTGACTAATATAATAGGGCTAAGGGTAAATAGTAATAACGACCTTGGTATTTACTCTATGACAACACAAGGTGGACATGACCTTGAAGTAAGCATTGTGACCTAAACCATTTAAACAGACAGACAATGGTCACAAGTACAATTAAACAAACAAACAAAAAAAGAATTTTAAAACTTTTGTGTTCTTTAATAGGTCTTTTATTTAAAACAAAAAATAAATCAAACTGCATTGAATGAACATACATCAATGATATTGAACGTAGATACAATGAATTAAAGATCTACACTTCAAAACAGTCACATGCAATGTTTCATGTGGTTAATCCTATATAGATCTAGGTTATCTTAGCATGGCCTCATTGCATCAAAGTTTAGAGCTCTGGCTGGTTGGTCACTGTCACAAGGTGACTTCACTGTGTGTGTGTTTTGGAGTAGACTTGCAACCAAGAGATAGTACCACAACTGGTGGAGTCATGTGACACTGTTAAATACCTTAGATATCTTGGATAGACAGAGAGAAAGGGGGGGGGGGGGTGAGAAGTGGCCAATGACTTGGAGCAAATAGCTGGATGGAGACCAACCCAATGACTCATCAAAATAAACAAGGTCAGGGAAACTGCTGACAGTATAAAATATCTTAAGAGTGTTTAATAATAAAGTTTCATTATAGTCAACCATCACCTCACTTATTACATAACTAATAACATGATGCTGAATTTATGGGAAGGTACATACAAACCAGGGGAAAAAACTATGGTATTATTTTTAAAAAATGACAATAAAATTCTGATTAAAAACATTTTCCCTTATAAACCATTTACAACTTTTCATTCTTCTTCTTTAAGTCTGGAAAATATGTATAAAATGACTATTTGCAACTCAAAAAAAGTATTTATAAAATTTTTGTAACATCTGTCATTCTTGTGTTCAAATGTTTATACTAGGACCCTATAAACATCTCATTATGTTATGACCAAAGTTGATATACGCAAATATTTTCTGGAAACCATGTGAGTTGGCAACACATCACATTGGACTAAGAAGTGCCACTGTGAGTAAAACTAATCCAGACAGGTCACTCACATGACTGCCTACAAGTTACATATACCCACCCCCCTCCTTTTCCAACCACTATTTTCTGCTAGAAAGAATACTTCTAGGTTGTGACACTTAAGGTCATGTGATATGACCCAGTTTTTCTTTATCTATCAAGGAATGCAGGTCAGGGGTCAAAGTTGGAAACATACTTTAAACAAAGGAACCTAAAAGTTGTGTATGCACTTGCTTATCTTGTAAATGATTGATATCAGCTAAGAGGAAACTATCTTCCTATCATAAATATACATGGCCACTTCCTTCAGCAATTCCACTAATTCCATATCCTGTTGTATGCTTGGCAAAACATAACTCTGACTAGAACACATCCTGGAACATTTGAGTTCACTGCTAACAGGATATTAAAACTAATGTCCCATTTAGTTATCAGTGAACCAAACACAAATGTCAAACAAACAAAAAAATTCCCTTTTACTTTGTCCATTCTTGGAATGCTACAAGAATTAAAAGGTATTATATCCACTAACAATCCATAATGTCCAGATAATGTCTGAAATAATGTTCAATGGTAACAACTGTCCCAACACAAAATGAAAACATGACACCAGTGTGTGGCTGTTTCTGAGATGCAATTACAGCAATAACACCAAAGTGTTGTAGGAGGAGTCCAGGGGATAATGCATAATCCACTGTCTGACTGCAGCAATTTCTTATAGTTGCAATAAGAGTGATTCAAGGATCTTAGGGCTCATAATGTCCTGTCATCCACAGTGAAAATGGTCCACGTGTGTACACACACACATAAACTTGGTGGCTACATTTTGGGAAGTAGCCTGATGGCAACAGATGATAAGTTGAACCTGTCGCTGGAGTACAGCTCAGGAATGTCTTGCATAAGAGACCTTGTCAATGCAGGGTTTGGGACAGCCTGGAGAACAAAGAACAAACCATTTAATACATTTGCCTATTTATATACATCTGGTGTTTGTACTTTCATTACATAATGTACACTAAAAGAAAGGGAGTCACTTTGATGGGCCTTCAACTCACCTGCGGTCTTAATTAGTCATACAGGTACATAGACTGGATCAACCAGGTAAATCTTCAAAGTCTTTGATCTCTGAGCTGTCACTCCAAACATTATGAAACATTGAAAGAAGTTTTTTCTCGCTAAAACTGAGGCCATCATCTCCATGCTAGAGAAAAGAGAGAAAAAAAATTAACCACAAAAACAAAGATGCAATCAGTTGTTGAAACTTTAATAACTATTTAATGGTTCAGGTAACATAACTAGATGCTGAGTAATATAAAAGCTATAAAGAAAAAAGTACACACCTGAATCAAGAAGCAGTCAAGCTCTGAGGGAACATTTTCATTTCTGTTCATTAAAGTAGCCATCCCAACCTGAGCCAGGTCAGTACAGTGACTGAGTTCTGAGTGAATCTCATTGATGTCCACCTAGTCAAACAGAACAAAACACAAAAACATTAGAAAAGAGTTCTAGTCTGAAAACATAGCAAATAAACATAACAGTCTACACTTCTTTAAGAGATATTTTTATTAAACTAAATGCACTTCAGTAAGCTTACCTTCAAAATGAGAATATCATATTCCACACAAACTGATTCTATGAGCAACATTTGAATGTCCAAGTTGACATGACTAGATGTGGTATCAACAGGCAAGATACATATCACAACATCATTTGGCTTTCTGTCAAACAAAACAAGGGCACAATTATTCCATGCATTAAAAAAAAATAAAGGGAAAAAAAGGCTTTCATTATTGAAACGTGCATAAAAATATAAGCAACTTAATACGTTGCAGAACTAAAGTAAAAAAAAAATATTTAAAAACTAAAAGTGTATTCTAGCATTGTACATTATAACGACTTGGCATTGAAACCCATAAGCAAGAACGATAATCATGTTGTTTACCTCCCCTTGGTAATATTGCGTAATACCCCAGACCCAGGCAATGTACTTTTAACTTGTTTTTGCTATCTTCGCACTTCGACGCCCATGTTTTCACCTAGCGGGGAGAGGGCTGGGCTTAGAATCACGTTTTGTGGAATGGAAGGCGTATCTTTTGTAAATCATAACAACTTTTGGCCTTAGACGTAAATAAAAGTAATAAATACAAGGTTGAACTCTGACCTACCTGCTAAGTGCGTCGACGCAGTCATTAAGTCCATGCGTCAGTCGGCCCTCGCGAGCAGCCTGAGTTATAGCGCTGGTCACAAGTTCACACATGGTCGACTCTGGTGATCTGAAAGTAGCAAGGAAAGAAAGGCTTAAAAATTGCGTTTTCTTGAGCACATCGGTCACAAAAACATAGGCTTGCATCTTGGATCCCTAAGCCATTTGTTCTTTGACTCAAAAACCCTACACTGCAAAGTTACACATGCCAATTTCTAGGATAAGATTTTAAACACTTTTCTTGCGATGTTTAGTCAAATTTTTACTTCCAAATGTTTAGGACTCAATATTCATAAAGTATTGATTTACACATATATATATGCTGTCAATACAGACATTTGTTTGATTATCTAGGTATAGATGAAATACGCAGATGCGTTAGTTTAAAGTAAAATAACACAAGTCAAGATCTATATAGAGTATGAGTAGGCTATTATAGAGTAGAGTCTGTTTCAACTCACTTTTCCATAAATTCAGATGTAGATCTATCCGTGAAAATAGCTTGCAGTACGTCTGTGAGGGTCATGATTTTAAAACTAAACCGTTAGATGAGTTAGAAAAAAACACACAGAACACTTTATCACACAAAGAAATTATTTCGTAACACAAAAACTGAATACAGTATAGACCGTTGCGATCTGAGTTTTGTTTGTTAATGAAGAGTTCAAGCCTGGTCAAATGCTTTTATACGACGACCAAAATTTCCCTGCGTTTTGATTGGCTGAAAGAAAACGTATTACCCAGTGTTAGTCACGAGTGATGTTTGAAAAGCGCGAGGCGCCCTTCGTGATGACGCGAGCTCATGACTTGTTGGGTCTTTCGTTCGATACTTGGCGTTTTTTTTTTTTTTTTTTTTACTAAAAGGATCTGACTGGCTGTTAACAACTGGCTTATTTTGTCTTTGTTTCCCCTTCCTCTTTGTTGTACAATGTTGTTGTTTTTTAAAGTTAGTTGTTATTAATTATATGCAAATAATCAAAACTGAAGAAATGTTTTTCTTGAGATGAACAAAAGAACAAGATTCCAAGGTGTGGTCTGGGAATTTCGTTCTACCGGCATAGCCCTGGTAACAACTCTCTGACCTAATTTGGCTGGGAAGTAGGGAAATCCCAATCCGCGCCCCTTAGTTACACTACGGTGTGCCAACGTCTGGTATGTTGGAAGGGGCATGTCAGGACAGGAACGGTGCTGAAACAGCATTACGGCAAGATGCGGCGGGTACGAAGCCGTGAAAAGATTCATTGTTTACGTTTAAATACCTCCCAAAGGTTGCGCGCCTATTAGACCTGCCTGTTCTTATTGAATGTATCTTGTCTTCTACATGCAGGACGTTGTTGATTTACAAGTGCCAGAATTGTTGATGATTGGACCGGGCATATTTCACATACCGCGGGGGTTAAATATCTTCGTTCGATCGAGGTCACCTTTTTTTTCTCAGTAATCTTCACATTGTAAACATTTTAGTAATTGAAATCTTTTATGAAGCGAAATAGTTTGAACTTGAAGATGATACACTAGACAAACTCTATAGATCTACTGTAGTCTGGGAAGTGTGGAATTCTCCTTTGTCTACATAAGTCTACATTACACTATACAATAGACAGATGGGGAAGTATTTACTGATCTGTGTCTGTACAAGTCTAATATAGCCTACAATTACACTATCAATCTAATAGCTTCAACAACAACAACAAAAAAAAAAAAGAAAACCACTAGCCACTAGTAAATTAAAAAATGAATGACAATTTCCGTAAAACTCTCATTTCAACTTCAGAGCATCAGAAATGAAATAGCGGCCTAGCCTCTATGCTCATATTAACTCCACGAAGCTTTAAGACATTAAAATGACATTAAAGTCACTTCAAGTATGTAATGAAAATAACACTCAATTTGATGAAAATCATAGAGAGCATTAAGTTTTAGCCTGCTTGAAAAAACATGATACTATAAAAACTTTGTGATTTCTGATCCACCACCTCCATAAATCTTCCCACGAGTCAGGAAACAAACTGTAATCAGTGATTGGTCTAACTTTAAACTGATGTGCCCCTCAAGAAACAGTCTTAGGCGGACTTCAGTTCCTGAATTCTAGGAACTAACTGATTGCACAGGACAAGGTAAACACATTAGACCCTGTGCAGATGGCTGTTAAAAGTTTTGAAAGGTTGACATAACAACAATTTGATTTTGAACTCCCTTATTAGTTTCTATGTATTTGATAATTTTGTAATGATTAAGTCCCACAGTATGTAATAAAGTCCCCGGTAAATGTTTTACTTTGTATAGTTAGTGTTTGCGAATAGT